TGAAGAAAGTGTGTCATCCAAGATATATGAGCTCTCAAAAAGAGGTATCTGTGATTTATGCTTGCATATTGATTATATTTTAGGTTTGCCATTGTTAAGGATATATAATGACTGTAATATTATAAACCTGATTCAACACTGAATCAATGTATTCAGTATTTTGCTGTTGAGTTTGGGCTTGTAGGGCCAGTGGAGGTAGCAGAGATAATGAGATTGCAGCTCAGGACAGCAGGCCAATCATGTGATGGGTCAGACAGCAGAGGGTGCAGGAGAAGAAAAAAACCCTCAGGAAAGGACCAACCATCTGAATCAAACAGGGAGAGCTTTTCACATTTAAAGAGAGCTGTTGTTCCTCTTGCCTGAGGTGAATCTCCGTCCATGGCGTCCCGCTGAGGGTTTCAGGCACCAGTGAGCACAGGTTTGTTATGCAGACCTAACTGAGACACAATGGCCAGTGGTTAGTAACTGCAGTTTTAAGAACAACACTAAAGAAAAATACAGTTTCAGGAAAAAAGGTACAAAAGTTGTCACTGGGGTGGTACCCATTCAAAAGGTACTTATATGTACCATTTAGGAACTAATATGTACACTTAAGGTACCAATATGCACCTTTAAGATTCTAATATGCATCATTTAGGAGTTAATAAGGCACAACAGTGTACCCTTTCGAAGGGTACCGTCCCAGTTACAGCCTTTGTACCTTTTTTCCTGACAGCGTAGCTAGAAATAGCTCGGTTTTAATATTTTTTATTTCAAATTAAGGTACATTTCAACGTGACATTCACATAAAGCGAAATTAATTTCAGCGTGAATAAAACAAGTTTATAAAAGTAATGAATGGTTATAATAATTGGAGTGTGGCGCCATCTTTTGGTTAACGTGACGAATGCCACCAGAACAAGGCACCGACCATTGATTGGCAGGTTTGACAAATCTGGGAGTATAAAAAAAGTGAGTAGATATCATTTCATATCACCTTTTTTTCCCTCCCAGTTCTGCTTCACTTCAGTTATGGTAGCTACTTTTAAAAACAATGTTTTTTAAAGACTACACACAATTCACAGAATCAAAAGTGAAAGAGCGCCATACACTACAGTATAAATTAAAGCACTACATAGTGTATAGTAATTTTAATTGAAAGGAAATGCATGGCCTATTTCAGCATCCTTTTTTTCAATATACGAGTTTGATTTACACGACACACTTTTTTATTTGTATTTTCTTTCTTTCTCCTACTTCAATTGAATTTTGTTTAATTACCCTAAAATTTGACCATGGCAATCATAGTTTTCAGTGTTGGGGGGTAATCTATTACAAGTAACGCAAGTTACGTAATAAGATTACTTTTTTCAAGTAACTAGTAAAGTAAAGCATTACTTTTTAATTGGTAACACTTTACTTGAAGGGGTGTGCATAAGACTATGGAGTAACGCATTACTTTTAAAAGTAACTTTCCCCAACACTGATAGTTTTTGCCAAAACAAAAATCACTTTCAGTATCATTTTAGCCAATAAGCAAAATATGTTTATGAATGTCTGCTAAATTATTTAAAGCAAAGGTAATTTCGCACTGCTCAAAGTTCGTCTCTTGAAACGCAATCTCATATTTGATCAACGTATCGCCTGAAACAGTAGCAAAGTCTTGTGCTCCAGCTGTTCGCAGGAGAATATTTGTGTTCTAACTTTGAAGCGAACTTTCAACGTTATTGCAACCTTCGAACCCCGTTAAAACATACAGTATGTAAACTTTCACAAATAAAAATGAAGCCTTTTGTCTTTTTTGTTTTATATTCTAATCTATATGATTTGTGTTCTTTATTCTCCTGAGACTCGGCCATAAGAGGTAATGTCCTGACATTATATTTTTATACATATCTTTGAGATATTATAAGTCAGTTTTATTTCTCAAAGTTGGCCTACTGTAAAGAGTAACCTACATTCAGAGATTTTTAGTTTGGAGGTTTAACCATGACAGCTCCCTTCCTTGGTCTTTAAACATGATTGTCATGAATGAATGAATTCAACATTCTTATGGGGATTTGATCATATTTTGTAATGAAAAAGTAAAGTAAAATAGTGTATGAAATCATTTTCTAATATCTTGCATACCATAGTTGAGAATCTTTGTACAAAGTTTGGTTCACGTGGAAGTTTGCTAGAGCAGTCAAAGAACCGAAAGCTCCATTAAATGCAGACACTGTAAAAAAAAAAAAATCAAAACAATTTCTAAACATCTTTTACCAAAATGATCCTCATATTCGTTTTACAGAGGACAAGTTACAAAAAAGTAGCCTGAAACCTAAAAATTGACTGGTATATTGAATATAAATTTGAATGAAAAAATGTTTTAATATTGTTTTTATTTTATAGTCCTGGTATAGCTCACCAGAGGAAATAACTCTATTGGGGATGTTCAGGTACTCTAACAATGACAATTAATTTGACACAAGCTCAGGTGTGTTTATCATAATGTTATGTCTTTTCTGCAATAATGGCACACAATTCCACCAACAAGGACAAATGGACATTTGATGCACTTTAATTATTACGGTTGGGTTAGTGAATCACTCTATATCAGAGAACAGGTAAACGTTAAAGTGAAAATACGTATTGATGACAGATTTGTGTAATTGCTCTTCAGCACTTAAAATAATCTCCATTCGCTGATCCCAAAGATGGCCAAACTAGCTCTTGATTTACCTGATCTCATTAAACAGGTATGTTACAGGTTCCTGCATTGTGTTAATTAATTAATTTGTTAAGTTTTGTTAAGTCTGGTCTACTGTATAATATTGGCTATGATTTTGGCCATGCTGTCTTTTGTTGCAGGGAAAAATCATCAGTCTTTGAGAAGTTTCTTTAAAAATGTTTGATGTGCAACCTAAATCTCATTATGTAACATTCTTTTCACACTAATATTTTATGAAAATGACCTCCTCCATCTAAATAATAAGCACAAATTCCATCATTTCTGTGGCAAAACATTGGTGACAGTTTTTTCAATAGCATTTAAATTTGAAGTGTGAATATATCTGTCAGAATTAATGCAAATGTTAGGTAAACACTGTAAATCATGTCAATGTTATATTTACATTCATGCACTGGGCAGATGCTTTTATCCAAAGTGACTTACATTGCATGCACATTTTATTTTCCCTGGGATTGACTTAGAGTCTGTCTTGGCTTTTACACAAGATCTCCTCAGGTTCATCTTGTACAATCTGACAAGCAACAATCATGCAAGACAAAAACTAAATTAACAATCACACAGTGTGCACCATTTGTCAGGCCAAAATAATGTCCCACTGGATGGAAGAAAAGAAATATACTTAGGCTGAATTAATTGCATTGCTTTGCTTATATACATTGTTTTTTTAATGCACTAGCCTTATATGCTAGTTCATTTTCCCCTATAGAGTTTTAGACATAGATTCTTCATAGAAATAGATCTTCAGCAACAATGTTTAAAGGGGTCATATGATGCTTTTTTAAAGGGGTCATATGATGCGATTTCAAGTTTTCCTTTCTCTTTGGCGTGTTACAAGCTGATTGTGCATAGATATTGAGATGTTAAGTGCAGTGCTATATTAGCTTAATTAAAACAAATATTAAATTTAATGGCCAAATTCCCAGAAAAGAAGTACGCTACCTGAAGGGAGATCCACCAGTTTGGTTCAGGATTTCTGAAGTAAGGAATTTCTGAAATTACTTCTGGAACTGATGCTACTAAAAAAATAGTCTGTTCAGTACTGCTTTGCAAATACACAGTATTAATATAGTTTTTTGTTTTAGATCAACATTCAGTCCAAAGATGAACTAAAACCACAGTGGTAACATTAATATGAAGCATTATTTGATCATTTCTTCTCTCAACAGATAAACTGTACAAATGGCTGAAGAAGTTCTGTGGACATCACTTGCCAATAGACCTGTACAAATACATCAGAGAGAAGATTGGGCATTAGCTTATTGTAAATCTGTCTGGGTACTACAATCTCATTTCAGAGAAAAGTAGTCAAAAACAGTTCAACAGTATTAAACATGTGAAGCATAACTCTGAAGAATAAGAATAATTAAGTAACTAATACAAAACTGCTGTTTAAATTGTATTTCTTTTTGGACCACAGAGGTGTCATAGAAATATATTTACGTAATCAAAATGCTTTACAGCTTTTCAAGATTCATACGATATGTATATATTCTGAATCTGATCAGTATAATGATAATCATGATAAAGGACACGTATGGCTTCTTCAAAACAAAATAAACTTTATTGTTAAATTTGTAGTTTTCTTGCTTTAAGTTTTAAACAGACACCCTTTCCTGTACCTTTCCATTCTCATCCATGGTATAGACTTTCCAAGGTCTAGCAATTTAGCACTTTAAGTTTCAATGTTTTGTTTCTGTACCTCATAAATGCCACTTTGCTTGGGCATATATATATATACACACCACCACGAGACATGGCCACTGTCTGTATATGAAAACAGAGATTTAAACATTCAGAATGCATCATTTAAGTGCGTATCACAAGTGTTTACTAGTATTAGTGGTTTGTTCAAATCACAAACCTTAAAGGGATAGTTCACCCAAAAATGAAAATTCTGTCATCATTTACTCACCCTCGTGTTGTTACAAACCTGTATGAGTTGCTTTCTTATGTTGAACACAAAAGAAGATATTTTGAAGATTGCTGGTTATCAAACAGTTGGTGGTTGCCATTGACTTCCATAGTAGGAAAAAAAATTACTATGGAAGTCAATGGCAACCACCAACTGTAACAATCTTCAAAATATCTTCTTTTGTGTTCAACATAAGAAAGCAACTCGTACAGGTTTGGAATGACATGAAGGTGAGTAAATGATGACATAATTTTCATTTTTGGGTGAACTATCCCTTTAATGATGAGAAATACTGTCAGCAACTATGATTTAGCAAACACCGTCCACAACTAAAGCATATTGGAGTGTGGCGCCATCTAGTGTTTAAAGAGACGAACGACAACAGTCATGTGACGAAAGGTGAGCGATTAATAAAGCGGTTTTGACCAGGAAACACTATGACAGAATTGATTAAATGTCAGCTTTAGCAATAAATGCTTGTGGTGTTTCCGTATCCCGTCATCGCTCATATGCTGCAGTTCTCAGGAACTGCCACAGCTCAAGGTTTCATTCTCGCGCGTTTACTTTCGTTCTAGTCACACAAGCGACCGCAAGCTTTCACAGACACTGGACGCCAACTGCACGCGAACAAGTGAGTAGATGTCATTTACAAGTTCCTGCACGTTCTGTTTTACACACCAATTGTAAAACCTCGCGAAAGTTGCATGTGGTCCGTATAAAAAACATCGCGTTTGATTGTAACGTTACACATAGTTCGTAAAATCGAAAGCGAAAGAGCACCAAACACTACAGGACAAATATTAAACCACTACATATTGTATATAATTATTAAATCAAAATAAAATAGAGGAGAGAGACCATTTTAACATTTTCCGCTTCCGACAATGTACATGTAACTCTGAGTACACAGACTTTTGTTTACTACGTACTAATGTTTTGACCACCTACTACCCTTATAAATACGCGTTTCCTGTCTTTTTCGTACTCTAGTGAGTTCTTGGGTACCCAGAAAGTTGGAATAAGAAAGTGTTCACACTGTAAACACGCCCTTCAGGCAGTAAGTTAGTGTGTTTAGGCACCAGGCAAACCACGCAGTTGCCCTAAAGGGGGCCCTAAACACGCCCTTTCCTTCAGGTAGATCCAAAACGGGTCAAACATAGAAAAATGAAGATCCGCACATATCAAGATATAGGCCAAAAAGCTGATTTGTCTTGTTTTGTATATTCTGATGCTTTTGCTTTATTTTGGCCTTAGATGTCACAGCAAGACAGCACTCAAGTGAAGGGATGCTTAAATCAGACAAATAACAGTGGAAACACTGGTGATCAGTCATCAAGAGGAGAACCCAAAAACCAGCACTCATCCACTGATTCTGCAGGCAAAGGGGCCACAAGCCAGCCCACATCTACTGAGAATGAAAGGGAAGAAAAAACGTGCCTGTCTAATGAGAGCGCAGAGAAAATGGCCAAAAAAGCCAAATCTGATGAGTTCCAAAACCCCAAGCCAACCCATAGTGCATCTGGAGAAAGCAGCTCAAACCGGCCCTCTCAAGGTGCACCCATGGACACTTCAGATCCATTCTCAGATGCTTCGGGAACAAGACCACAGCTTGGGATACAGCTGGGTCCCACATATCCCATTGAGAACCTCAAAACAATGCAAAACTTCTCCACAGAGTTTGACAAGAAACCGATTGGACACATAATAATGATAGATGTAAGAATCGAATTTCATTCTCAGTTCTTGTATTATATAATCTTACTTTATAAAGTGGGCTATGAATATGAATTTGATCATAATTCATGTTACTGGCTTGTCTGAGCAGATGACATGTTTCCAAAGAGGCGTGATTGTCCCTTTTCAAAGAACTCATGTTTGGGATTCCAAAAATGTGAAGTTACCACATCTGTATGTAAGTATGAGCATCCAGAATGCCATTGGAACAAATCTCTCTCTCTAAAGATCATTATATTCAGTATAATTATTATTCCCCATAGCCTCTGTCCCACAACAAGTCCCATGCACCACCCTCTCGCTGGGAAGCCACCTGTCATGCTCTGCGCAAGCTCACCAAAGGCAGTAACTCTATTGGGGATGCTGAGGTACTGTAACACTAATCAATGACAAATACTTTTACACTAGCTAAAGTGTGTTTATCATGTGACCTGTTATCCGTTTTTGTCTATTTGTAGACCGCAATAATGTCTTACAATTCCACCAACAAGGGAAAATGGACATTTGATGCGCTTTATCTTTATGGTCAGGTTAGTGAATCATTCTCTGTATCAGAGGACAGGTAAATGTTAATTTGAAAATACACAGACTAATTTTTGTAATTGCTCTACAGCGCTTACACACAGTTGACAATAATCTCCATTTGCTGATCCCAAAGATGGCCAAACTAGCTCTTGAGTTACCTGATCTCATTAAACAGGTACTGTATGGGTTCATATTGTACAATCTGACAAGCAACAACCATACAATAAAAATGATATACTTACAATGTCTGTACTCTCTGATTCCAGCCCATCCCTCTCCTGCGACAGCAACAAAACCAGGCCATAACAATGTCTCAGCAGCAGATTTCCAGTTTGTTAGCAAATGCCTTCTTCTGCACCTTCCCTCACAGGAACGACACTAAACCTGGTTCAGAATACTCCAACTTCCCCACCATCAACTTCAGCAGGTGATGCTCTGATCACATTACACTGAATGTTTCATTCTGATCTGAAAATACTGGTGTCATATCTGTTTGTTTTATAATATACATATATATTTTTTTGCCATAGCCTATTTGCTAATGAGAAAGACCCAGCAAAATTATCCCAGAAAGCAGAGAAACTGAGGGCCATATTCCATTACTTCAACACAGTGACAAATGAAAATCATGATCAAGATCCAGGTATTTTTGAAGGAAGTCTCTGATGCTCACCCAAGACTGCACTTATTTGATAAAAAATACAGTAAAAGCAGTCATTTTGTTGAATATTATTATAATTTAAAATAACTTTTTACTGATGTAATATATTTTAAAATGTAATTTATTCCTGTGATGCAAGGCTTAATTTTCAGCATCATTACTCCAGCCTTCAGTGTCACATGATCCTTCAGAAACCATTATAATATGCTGATTTGATGCTCAAGAAACATTTTCTTATAGTTATCAGTATTGATAAGAGATGAAATATGTTCGTAGAAACTGGGATACTTTTTTTTTTTATACCAGGTTTATATGATTAATATACATTTCAAAAGAACAGCATTTATTTGAAATAGAAATCTATTGTAACATCATGAATGTCTTCACTGTCACATCCTTGCAACTTTTGAACGGGAGTTTATATGTCAGTGATGCATGCAAATATTTCAAAGGATGAGCAAGGAATTTATTTTCATTTCAGTGTAAGAAAATGTAATTTCGTTGAACTTCTTTAACAGCATCAAAACCAGATGGACTGGTTAGTTTTGAAAGGATTAGCATTCCACCCTCACAGCTCCCTGACTGGAATAAGTAAGTTGCACTAGTAATACAGTAAATAGACTAAAGCGTGTTGACATGCCTCGTACTGATCGTGTTGGACTTTAGACAGAAGATGCCCCTGAGGAACCTTCACATCTCTTCAGAAGGATCCATTGAGAAAGAGGGTACAGGCATGCTGCAGGTCAGTTTCATCTAAACATCAGTTTTGTACCTGTTCTTCAGATAAGTTTCATCTACATCATGTTGTTCTGGACAGGTGGACTTTGCCAGCAAATATATTGGTGGAGGAGTGCTGAAGTCAGGACTGGTTCAGGAGGAGATCCTCTTCCTCATGAGTCCAGAGCTCATCGTGGCCAAACTCTTCACGGAGAAACTGGCTGATAACGAGTGCCTCAAGATCACAGGTACTGCTGGGACATTTAGCACAAAGTTATCTTAAGGCTGTAATACACTGCACAAGATTTAAAACACTATCATCATCATATACTTGCCGACTTTTCTTAAAATCATACAATGAACAACTGAAGATCACACACGCCAGGGCCCATATTCAAGAAAATTCGTAGTGCAAAGAGTGTCACGTACTTTCCTATATATATATATATATATATATATATATATATATATACAATTGACCAAATACTTATTTTCCACCATAATTTGCAAATAAATTCTTTAAAAATCCTACAATGTGATTTTCTGGATTTATTTTTCTCATTTTGTCTCTCATAGTTGAGGTATACCTATGATGAAAATTACAGGCCTCTCATCTTTTTAAGTGGGAGAACTTGCACAATTGGTGGCTGACTAAATACTTTTTTTCCCCACTGTATATATATACATACATACATATATGGGTAGATTACTTTCAAAGTGTAGTCCGTTACCGATTCCAAATTACATGACAAAAATTGTAGTTAGTAGTGTAATCCACTACATTACTCATTTTAGGTAATGTAATCGGACTACTTTTAAAATTTTTTGACCTAACTCCTATTTAAGTCAATGTGATAAACTCGTAAATGTATCACATTGATTTAAATAGGATAATCTTGTACCATCTTGATATAAAAAATAAAAAGAAAATATATTCCATTTATTGTTATTAAGAACATGAAGTGCATTAAACATTACATCAAGGTTTCCAAAACTAGGGTTTGTAAAGGAACTGCAAAGGTTTGTGAATTTAATGAAAAGCTAATAATTAATTAAATAAAAATAAAAAAATAAAATAAAATCAATCAAAATAAAATACATACTAAAAAAATTTAAATTATATTGGTGCCGATAGCCTCGTGGGTGGCACGTCGACATGTAGCGTCTCGGGGGTACTTCAAGTAAATATAATAGGTGAAACGGGTTCAGATCGGATGAGATGTTAAACCGAGGTCCTGACTCTGTGGTCATTAAAAATCCCAGGATGTCCTTAGAAAAAGAGTATGGGTGTAACCCTGGCATCCTGGCCAAATTCGCCCATTGGACTCTGACCATCATGGCCTCCTAACAATCCCCATATCTGCTGATTGGCTTCATCACTCTGTCTCCTCTCCACCAATAAGCTGGTGTGTGGTGGGCGTTCTGGCGCACTCTGGCTGCCGTCGCATCATCCAGGTGGATGCTGCACACGGGTGGTGGTTGAGGAGATTCCCCCTTTCTATGTAAAGCGCTTTGAGTGCCCAGAAAAGCGCTATATAAATGTAAGGAATTATTATTATTATTAGATGGCAAAACAAGTTTGACAAAAGCCTTCCAAAGACATAGTAATGCTTAAATAACCTGTGATAATCCAAATAAAAATGTATATTGAAATACTTCTTAAACCTGAAATTATTTTTGTGAATCCAGTGGTCAAATGTTGTGTAGCCACCTGACTAATGACTGATCTCTGTGTGAATGTCCACAAAACTACTAGACTTTCTGACTGTATATAAGTGGTAGGCTATTTTAGAAGGGAACATTTAAAAGATGAAAAAGTGGAATTTCAATCAATAAAATATTACTATTGTGTGAATAATATGTAATCAATAAAAAAGTAACTGTAGTTTGCTTACAAGCATTTTAAAATGTAATTTAATCTAATTACAAGTAATACATTTTTGGAATCTGATTATGTAATCCAGATTACATGTAATCCGTTACTACCCAGCTCACTCTCTCTCTATATGTGTGTGTGTGTGTGTGTGTGTGTGTGTGAGAAAGAGAGTAGGGTAAAATAGGAAGAAATATACCCTATTTAAAACACCTTTTTTTTTTTTTTTGGACAACCAATCATAGTCTTCAATCGAATTTGTCTTACCTAGCAACGGGGTCAGCCCTGTCTCCTCACTAGGCAGAACATTTTTGTCTTTTCCTTGTTCAGAGTTGCTCTCAGATTGGTCCTGAATCACTTTTTTTAAAGATTTATTTTTGGTGTTTTGCCTTTATTATGATACGACAGTGGAGAGCAGACAGGAAACGAAGTGGGAGAGAGAGGGGGGGGGTGAGATTGGGAAAGATCCTCGAGCCGGGATTCGAACTTGGGACGCCCGTAACAATGGTGTTGTATGTCAGCGCACTGCCCACTAGGCTATCGGCGCCAGTGGTCCTGAATCACCCTTAAGCTAAGATTGCTAGTTAGAAAGTTTTAAGCTAAATTAGGAGCTCTCTGAGAGGATTCTTAGAAGCTTTAAGAATACAGGCTCAGACCTTTAAGTCATTCTGATCATAACAAACTCACGCAGAAACATGTGCCTTGTTGCTAGGACACGTGTGACAAATGAAAACAATACGTTTTCTAAAATCGGTTGAAAATATGAAACATGTTTGATATCTTCTAACTGGATGGAATCAAAGTCTGCAGCTAAAAAAAATCCCATATAGTAACTCCTTTGCTGACATACCACTGAAAAGTGAAAGTAAGATGAGAATTAAAAAAAAAACATTTTTGGGGGGTGAGCTACTGCTGGTCCCCATCTTAGACTAAGTCTTATTTATAATGTGTCATCAGGTCCTCAGATGTACAGCATTACTTCTGGCTATAGCAAAACCTTTTCTTGGGTGGGTCCATACAATGATTGCACAAAGCGGTAAGCAACGATGACAAATGCACAAAATTCAGAAAAGTGAATTTTTCAAAATATCATTGGTTTTACAGAAAAAAAAGAGTAAATTAATGTAACATTGTGTCAAATTCACTTATAGTGATACGTGGAAGAGGCGTTATCGGCAGATTGTTGCCATTGATGCTCTTGACTTCAAGAACCCAAAGGAGCAGTACACCCAAGAGAACATAAAACGAGAACTCAACAAGGTACTAGTTTTAACACATTAAAATATATGTAAGAATTTTGCCATTCCTAACTGTAAAGGTTATTCAGGCTTGTGTGGCTCTCAAAGGCATTTGTAGGATTCCACGGAAAACCAGAAACAGCTATCGCAACAGGCAACTGGGGCTGCGGTGCCTTCAATGGGGATCCTAAACTCAAAGGTAATAAAGAAACACACACACACACACACGTTTGATCTGGAGAAATTATAAACACTATACATTGATTACAATAGAGTAAATGCACAGAACAGAATGTGTTTGTGCTCAAAAGCTCTCATCCAGTTGATGGCTGCCGCGGTGGCTGAACGAGACATGGCTTACTTCACCTTTCGCAATGAACATCTTGCATACGAAATACAAAGAATGCATGAGATACTGACCAAAAACGATGTGACCGTAGGTAAGTACATACACTGAAATCAAAACATACAGGAATGAGGAGGCATAAGTGCTAAAATTATTAATAGACTACAATAGTAGCTCTTAGGTTGATGATATACACTACACTACTGTTCAAAAGTTTGGGGTCAGTACATTTTTTTTAATTATTAAAAAATAAATACTTTTATTCAGCAAGGACTCGTTCAATTGGCAACATCAATATATAAATGCTGTTCTTTTGAACTTTCTATTCATAAATGAATCCTGAAAAATTGTATCATGGTTTGCACAAAAATATGAAGCAGCACAACTGTTTTCAACACTGATAATAATAGGAATTAGAATGATTTCTGAAGGATCATGTGACACTGAAGACTGGAAAATTCAGCTTTGCATCACAGGAAAAAATTACATTTTAAAATATATTACATATAGATTTTTTAAATTGTAATACTTCACAGTATTACTGTTTTTATTGTATTTTTTATTAAATAAATGTATCCTTAGTAAACTCAAGAGACTTCTTTCAAAAACATTAAAAAAATATTAGAGACCCCAAACTGTATTGTTTATGTAGAAACTACAGTTCAGCATTATTTTTAAGTGTTTTTAAATGGTATTTTTATAATATATTTTTAATAGCCAAATTCAAGAACCAAGGGTGTTCAGTGTTGTTTTACAAACATACAATAATACAGTACTAAATGTAAGCTAGTTGTTTTTCAGCTTCTGGTTTAGAGTAACCTGATCATTTCTACTCTCAACAGATAAACTGTACAAGTTGCTGAAAGAATTTGGTGGACACTACACTCGTGAACATCACTCGGCAACAGACTTGTACAGATTCATCAGAGAGAAGATCAAACATAAGAATAGCTTACTGTAAATCTGTCTGGCTTCAGCAGTATTAAATATGTAAAGCTGCTTTGAATGTATCAGATTTCTGAAAGATCAGAATAATGTAACAATATAAAAAAACCTACTGTATGTTATGTATTTGGACCACAGGTGTCATATTAATTTAATTGTTTACCTTAATTAAAATGTGTTATAGTCAATCACGATTCATATTAATTAAGGAAAAATTCAGATTGATTAAAGATCATCTGATAAAGTGCACAAGACATGTATGTCTTTATTAATGCAAAATAAACTGTTCATGTTAAAGTTGTAGTTTTCTTGCATAATTTGTAAGTACAACAAGCAGACAGATTGAAATTGAAATGAAGTAGTATAACAGTAGTCTGAAATAAACATAAGCCATATGAAAATAAATAAATCCTTTTATTTTGTCCTGAAGAGAGTCTTTCCGTTTGTTGCTTAATCTCAGCTTATTGTTTTTTTTAAATAACAAGAAGATACAATTATTGTTTCAGCATTCAATCCTTGAATTCACCTAACGAAGTTCATTATAATTTGGCACTGAGTGTTTAGAGGGTGAATGGGAGAGACGAAGAGGATAAGGAAGAAAGATAGGGTGTCTTTACATTTCCTGCTATATTCTAAAACTGCTAAACACAGGCAAGCTAACTTGTTCCTTTTTCGCAATAATTAAAAAATGCATAGGGTTTCATGCATGCCCTTTAAAGCCCTCATGCTATCATGACTTTTCAGTGTCTCATTTCTGAGATGTCCATGCCAACTCAGGTAACGGACAGTGCAAACATTTTCTTGCGCTGTTGATGTGATTTTGTGCATAAAAAATATTTGTATTATTGAGGGGAAACCTCTAGTTTAAGCTCCATGTCACTTTAAATCCCTATTAAAACCATCATCAACATGCCTCAGAGACACATGCATGCAAACCGATCCCATTACCATGACATTGCTAAAAGCTTGCATCCTTTCATAAAACCTGCATAGATAGGCCTCTCATATCTACTGTACAGTGCAAAGCAAACCTGTGCTTTGGTCAGGAGATTCCTAGCTGCCAGCCTGCCTTCTAACGCTAACAGTGGGGTGTGAGTTTCCTGAAAAACGAGGGGCGGAGGGATGGTAATGAAGGGAGTGGATGGTGCGAGGTGCTTAGGACTGGTTCTGGAAGGCATCCGGGTTGAAGGCTGTGTCCAAGAACCGCTCCAGCTCCACAAGATGAGCCTTCTTGTTGCCTGTGGCGGGGGCAGCTGCAGGCTCTCGGCCGGCGTACCTGAGAAGAATACATGTAAATATAATGTAAATGCATGTTTTCATTTATCCAAAGTGACTTACAAATGAGGTCTTACATGCATTATTACATGGCTTACACGCATTAGCAACACATGATAATTGGGTACAAATACTGTTGCATGAATGCACAGCATGAAAACTTCTTCAGGTCACCCCAAAGTAAACAAACAAACAATTAAATGGATAGTTCACCCAAAAATAAAAAATTGTGTCAAATTACTCACCCTAATGTCGTTCCAAAACCCTTAAGACCTTTGTTCATCTTTGGAAAACAAATTAAGATATTTTTTATGAAATCCAAGAGCTTTCTGACCTTCCATAGACAGCAACACAACTGAAATGTTCCCAGACCCAGAAATGTAGTAAGGACATTGGTAAAACAGTCCATGTGACATCAGGGGTTCAACCTTAATTTTATGAAGCTACGAGAATACTTTTTGTGCATAAAAAAAACAACGACATTTAACAATTATTCTCCTATATAAAGTATAGAATAAAGTCATTATTTTTGTTTTCTTTGCACACAAAATAATTCTTGTAGCTTCCCAGAACATTTCAGAAATCTCTCGAATTTCATCAAAAAATATCTTAATTTGTGTTCTGAAGATGAACGAACATCTTACAGGTTTGGAACGACAGGGTGAGTAATTAATGATAGAATTTAGATTTTTGGGTGAACTATCCGTATAAATTTGAAACATGTTAAAAAAATTATGATTAATTATTACTATATTATACTATTATATTATAATAGCATTATCACTTATTTTATTATTGTTCAAAAACATTTTTAAGTATTTAGCCATTAAAAACCATTAAAATATTTTGTATTTGCAATGCAGTCATTTTTATAGTATAATTTCTAAATATGAATAAAGAAAAACAAAGAGAACATTTATTGTAAAACTATATTTCTAAAAAAAAAAACAGTCCCAACAATTACTTTGTAGTAATTGTTGGACTGCTTACTTAAATACTTTTGAAAAAATCATGAAAATATTGTCAATATTACTTGATACATGGCTTCATTGTCTTTATGCCAAATATAATTATTTTAATTTTGGAGGAAATATATAGCCTAGTTCTTGAGAGATTTTGTGAGATTCATTCTAAAGATGAATTTAAAGACATGAGTTACCAAACGGGACGGGTGTTGTTGAAGGTTCTGCTAATGCGTGGCTTGACATAGTCGTAGTAGCCTTGATTCTTATGCTCTTCCTGGCACCACAACAGCTGAGCCTGCGGATACTTCTCTGCCTCAGCTTTCACCAGGTCAAATGGGAATGGAGAAAGCTGCACAATAAAACATTTAAAGTAATCAAACACATCTTTTAACTACAAAGGGTGCAGGCATGAAGCGAAAATGATAATGCTGGACTAGTATAATGAGCATTCTTATTATAGAGAAATAAATACAGAACATGGCCCATTTAATAAATATAAGAATGAAAAGTATATGCAGGTACCTGCTCAATGCGGCTGATGGCTACTGTGTCCTCCAGGCCTCTGGTCTTTCGTTCTTTGGTGAGGTCATAATAAACTTTTCCTGTGCAGAAGATGAGACGCTTCACTCCAGCTGAATTCTGTGATGCACTTCCTTCTTCAGGAATGAGACGTCTCAAGTGTGTGCCTAATCAAACCCGAACACACCTGAACATTACTAAAAATGCTCTAGCGGGACACTGTATGGCAAAGGATTGCCAAGATTTCAAGTGGAAAAACCTGGTAACATGTCGTCAAATCTTGACTTGGCCTCTGGGTGCCGTAGCAGTGATTTAGGCGTGAAGATAATGAGCTAGAGCAAATAGAAAGAAAGATTAAATCTTCATGAAACCACAAGTTAGCTACAAACAAAGTCCCACAATATTTGACCAATCCATTTTCATGACTTTTCTATGTCCAGGATTTTTACAAATATTTACATGGATTTGCTAATGAATCCATTCAAAACAATGTGTAACCCATTTTCAGTAAATCATTGAAAAAGCTACTTAGAAAGATTTAGTCACAAATTGGACACTGCAAGTACAATAGCTATTAAATTAAATATTTTAGAGAAAAAAATACTAAAATTTCCATAGCAAATATATGTTTTTCCACGACTAATCCATGATTTCAAGAACTGGAAAGCAACTTTAAAATTCTCTGATATTTCCATGTTTTTCGTGGTGAGGGAAACCTGTAGAGATGATGAACAGTGTAAAATGTCTCTTACAGGCTTTCTGAAGGGCAGAAGGATCTGCCTCCGAAGAACATGGAAGTAATTTGCAGGAGTGGAGCAGTTCACCACAATCCAGTTACACTCATAAAGCTGCCGGGCGGCAAAGTCCTCTGTGATTTTCTGTGTCAAACAAATTAGTATTAAGACCGATATTCTTAGTAAATATTATGTTCGGTTTCATGCTTAAAAAAGCCAGCGATTTACCGGGAAAACGTCAGGGTCATCATTGCACATCTGCAGGAATCTCTCTGGACGGGCGGAGGAGTGCTCTGGTCCCTGAAAAGATCACCAAGAAAGTAATGAAAAAAGGAGCGGATGAGAAGATGGAAGCTCAGAGGTGGATTTAAGATGAAAAGACCTCACCATGCCCTCCATGCCATGAGGCAGCAGCAGCACAATGCCGTTCTGTCGGACCCACTTGGCCTGGCCGGGGGAGATGAACTGGTCAATGATGCACTGGGCGGTGTTATGAAAGTCTCCAAACTGAGCCTCCCAGAGCACTAGAGCATTAGGACTCGCCATGGCAAAGCCAAGCTCAAAACCTGCACACAATGAGACACAGACCTGAGGTTCAGTGGGCATATAATGTGCAGCTTCTTCTGGGTTTGTTTGACCGACAGCAACCAGCCACATTTCATTTGGTTTATACCCACCAAGAACCCCATATTCTGATAGGGAGCTGTTGCACACTGTATATGGAGTTTGGTTCGGGTCAATGTAGTTCATGGGAATGCAAGTCCGTTTGTCAACGTTCTGATCATGTAGCACATGGTGCCGATGACTGTATGGGGATAAAAAGGTAGACTATGGAGAATCAAGTGCCAAATCAAGTTAATTCAGAAGCACGAGATACAGCTGCTCTCACCTGAAGGTCCCTCTCTCCACATCCTGACCACTGAGACGCACATGAACGCCTTCCTTTAGAAGAGAACCTAAGGCCATGTATTCTCCCAGAGCCCAGTCCACTGAGCGGTTCTGCACCATTGTTGCCCTGCCCTTCAGGATACGGGTAAGACCTTAGAAGAAGACGGACAGAATAAGTACAGAAGCTGGATTCGAGTCAAACAAGCAACTTTATGATAGAATTTTTGGCAGATTTATTGGTGATTTCTATGTTTTTGTAACGCAAGCTAATTTTGAAGATTTCAGTATTTCTGCATTCAAGTAGATAGGAACTGTAGATATAGCCGGTTCCCAACATGCTTCAAAAATGACTTTGGGTACAGGCCATTTGCCTTTTCATAATTGTGTGCAGGAGTATGCAGAGATGAGAGTGAAAAGGTACCTCCATGGATAGTGAAATCCTCCACAGGCACAGAGGAAGCCACCTGACCAATGTGACTAAGCACTTCTTCATTAAGACCAGTGGATGGACAGCTCATACTCTTGGGTTGACCATCCAGAGTGAAGAAACCTGTAGAGTTAAGCACAAATGTCAAGTCAAGTAGATTTCAGAGCAAATACACGCATGTAATACACACACGTAAAAGTGTCTCAGTTTGGAGACATTGTACATAAACACAAACACACACACCCACCTGGCCAAGGTGAGTCAAGCCAGTGCTTAATGTGCAAGATCTTCTCATCTTTAGAACGATTGTACGCCTCCTCACAGATTTTGTCATACTTGGCAATTTCCTCCTACAACATGGCAGGCAAATATTCACACAAGTCCTTTAAGTAAGAAAGTATTTGACAAATATTGTCAATGTTTCCTATTATTGTTACTACAACTTAAACACTACCGATCAAAAGTTTAGGGTCTGTCAGATATTTTAATGTTAAAGTCTGTTATGCTTTGGTCAAAGATACAGTAAATATGGTAAT